CCTTCCTTTCTCGAGCTAGGACTCGGAAGGAAATATTTGGGTTGATATTTCAAGCGCTCCAAATTAGTTGGAGTTAATTTTCTACTTTCCAGCTTCTGCTTAAGTTAGTCTCAATGGATCTTGACCTTCACTTTATCGTAGGTGGTGATTGCAGCTGATTCACTATCTATCTCTCATGATTCTTATATTGGACTCCTCAAAGGTGAGCTGTTTGATCTTAACTAGAAGATACAAGCCCAGCTTTTTGCTGCGGCTTTAACTGTAATTAAAGATTGATAATGTCAGGTGACGATGCGCTCACTGGCCATATCCTAGAGATTAATTTTGCTACTTTGTGTTCTGTTTCGTTACAGGGGTGTGTAAGGTTCTGGAAGGAATTCACAATGACAAACTTTCCGAAGGCTTACATTCTATATGTAGGATTCACATAACGTCTCTTAAACAGGTTAGTCTGCCGTAACTATTCACAAAACTCGCTTCTATCGATAACCGTATGTAATCAGATGTTTTGGTCCAATGATGTTGAAACCAAAACCATTTGAAAAAGACGGTAGAGCTGCGTAATCACTTGGAGTCGAGTGGGGTACTGGGACTGAGTACGCTAATACAGACCTCCGTTTACTTAGACAAACTTGGACTAGCAAATTCTTTATGACACTTTGTTGACAGCATTCTTGTGTTTTAATTTTAATTTTTTTGTTTACAAGATTCTATCAGCACCTGTGAACTCGTATCCAGACCCTACCCTTTGGCTAGACAGACTAGCAGCTACATTTAGGTGAGCACGCGTGACTCTGCGGCTTTATACGAGTTACTAATCATGAATATACAAAGCCAACAACTAGGGAATCAATTAAATTTTCGCTCTGTTGCAGATATATTAATCCCAAAGTAGACAATGGAAAGGTACATCCAGCTCTGGTAGTTGTGGAGGAGGTAAGGAATTCTGGATTCTATAAATCAAGGTGGAATGAAACAGCTGCTGTAGCTGGTTTCACTGAGTTAAGTCAGTTCTACTTTTGTTGTTGTTGTTGTTGTTGTAGGTGTGGCCAATACTGTCTAGTATCTGTGACAAATATCGGGCTGACCTTAAGATCATTGAGAGATGTTGCAGGTAATTAACGAAAGAACCTTTTTACTCGCTTAGAACTTGTTGATATTTGTTTTTGTTAATGCTGTATGTTGTTGTTGTTGTTATTGTGTTTATCATTGGCGTTGTAATTGTTTTTGGGCCTTTTATTTGGTCTTGCCCAGTTTGCTCAAAGATTAAATCACCACTTACAGTGGCCGAGTCAAGAATTACCCCACACATAACATGGATTGGTTATTGAAGTTCCCTCAGTATAGTCTACTGGTTAGGATATCCCCTCTTTGAACAATCTGGCCTGCAGTCATTTGTTACGAAATAAATTATTTTTGTTATACGTCTCTCACTGTTATATTTGCTCTTTGGTTTTCATATGTTTTCAGGTGTATTAGATTTGCAATTCGCTGCCTCGGCAAATCAGCCATAAACTTACTCTCGCCTTTGGTATCACAGGTAAAGTGAAATAGTTGCCGAGTTTATCTCAAATTCGTATCAAGTATTTCTCATCTTCCAAGGAAGAGTTAGATGGTAACTGTAATTAACTTTTGTTTTTAACCAGATGGTGGGTGTATACGGTACCAATCCCCACTCGTGTTTCCTGTACCTGGGCAGTATATTAGTTGATGAGTATGGTGACGAATCTGGATGTGTTCCCGGACTTATTGGCATGACAATGGTATGTTTCTGAAGATGAATCTGTTTATTCAGGTCAGAGGAACTTGAGAGAGTGCAATTAGCAAGAGTTAGTTGAACTCCCGCCATGTAGAATTGTCTAAGTCGTGGAGCTTTCAGTGATGTTGCTAAGTAACATGACGTAATCTGATTAAGTCATGCTGACGTAACATCTGTCACCGTGTTCGTGAGTGTACGTTCGGTAGTTCTTGTCTTGACATGAGTTCGGTGTTCCCAACCAATGCAATCTCTCTCTTGGAAACCTGAGCTCTTTTCTTATGCAGTTACTGCCTCTTGTGCGGGATCACCGATAATGGCCGCCTAGCATTCTATAGCATTTGCCGAACTACGGTTATCTTCATATGTAACAGAACATTCCGGACGGAAACAGTACACCGATAATAATAAAGCATCTCTTAAGATGGAGTTTTATGTTGTTTGTTTTGTGTCCATATTGTTGTGGTTTTCTTACAGTGCGTGGAGGTGTTGGCAAATTCGAAATAGATTTAAATTTCATCTAAACATACGTTTGTCTGCGATATTTCAGGCTTTCTGTGGGCCGGCATTTCAACTTTTGAGTCGAGAAAAAGGAATGATTGAACATCCTGACACTATAGATGATTTATTTAGGTTATGTGGCAGGTAAGGCAAAAAGTCGTTTGTCTGTTTTTGTGTGTACGTATTAAAATGCACGAAGCGCCTTGATAAACCCAGTCTTTAATATGTAATGGTTTCTAATCGGTTTAAAGGACCACCTCAAACCAGTGTTCTTTGCGCGACTCTGTTGTCGTTATCATCCGGGCAATCGGAATCACATGTCTATATGAAAGATATATATGAAAGAAAATCACACAGAAGTCCAGCTAGCCGGCCTCGCAACGAGAAAGACTGCAGGACGCAACAAAATTTCCTCTGATAGTTCAAGCTTACTGTACCTTAATTTTTGCACGTTAGACTAAAGCTAATACCTATCTTAGTTGCGGCCACCATTATACAGACCTTATAATCCCAACGAATTCCAGCTGTTGAAGGAGCTACGTCGCGGCTTGCGCATTTTGAAAAGTTGGCCTAAATTTTTCAAGTTCGTCGTTTGTAATCCGTGTCAATTTTCTCTATCCATGATAATCCTTGTTCCTTTATTGTTTATTATTATCCCTTTTGGTGTTTTTCTATCTTAGTAATCTCCTACTTTCAGGTTTCCTTCGGTTTGAAGGTAATTTTGTATGTGGCCAAAATAACTCAAAATACTGTGACTGAGCTCCTTAAACGTATAATTCTAGCTTTTAATCTTCATGTATTTTGCGTTTGTTTCTACTTAGATGCCTTCAGAAATGTCCTTTGGCATTTCTCAAGTGTGAAGTTGCTGTCCCTGCTATCCACTGTGCTGTAGTTGCCAGTACTCTCGAACACAGAGACGCCAACTTGTCCGTGATGAAGTTTCTTAAAAGTCTTATTAACTGTGCTTCAGAGAAGGTGAAACTGGTATGCAGTAATGGACATGTTTCCGTAGCTTAACCCTCTCTTGAATAGTCTTGATCATGGTCTGGAATATTTCCTTGCTGTTTGGTTCAGTGGTCGTGTTATGCACTTCTGTCTTTGCCGATGGTTTCGAAAGCAAATATTTCCCATGATATTAGACAGAGAGGTTTTAAATTGTGTGTCCCAAACCGATACCAAAATGATCGCTTTGGCCAGTCACAGAGGACACAGGCTACCCCATGAACCAATTAAAACGCCACGAAACGCATCTGGGTGACGCGAAAACCGTCGGGTAATGTGTCTGAGCGAGTGACGTAAAGGGAAGGGGAAAGCAACCGGCGGTGTTGGGACTAACTAGCCCTGGCGATGGAGCCCAAATTCGTTCTGGTTATCTACGAATCACGTTTTCCCCACGGACGGAACGATTATTGGGCCGGTTGGAGTGAGCTAACAATGTCGGCCTTGTCTTCATTTTAACAAAGTTGTAGTCTTCCCCAGTCCCCAGAAGTGCAAGCTGGCGTTTGATTCTTTCACCTTTAAATGCTGATAGGAGATGCCCTGTCATTCATCTTTGCTTTGCCTTTTTAGTCGCAGAATGATTTTCAAGAGAGGCTTACCTTAGTGCAGAAGATTCTTGCTGTTCACGGCCAAAACATTATCACAGGTAAAGGCTGTTTGGCGTTTTGTCATTTCGCTGTTGTTAGCAGTTCGTCAGTGTCATTTTGATATGTGTATTTCCAGGTCTGATTCAGGCGTGCGCTGGTGCCCTGCCATCTTACATGGTGTTGGATGTAGCTGAAGTTCTGTGGGAATTCCTTACATTCTGTCGAGAGGTAAGACTTCTTTTTAACTTTAGAGTGTCGTCTTGAGAGTGCCCCATTGTGTTGGTATATTTGTTTTAAAACCAACTTCACAGCATCCAGCGCCAGTTTTCTGTGAATGTTTTTTGCATGTTTAATTCGCTTTCTTTTTATATTGCGGTTACCAATCAGGCAAGCTAGTGCCTTTTCTTTCTTATCATCCAATTAAAACAAAGCACGGTCACTTACGCCACGTTGCTTAGCAACTTCGGTGACGTGGAAACCCGTTGGCTCAACCAAATTCATTCTCATCTAGTTTTCGTTCCCCGACTGTTAGCTGTCCTGTAGTAGCTATGTTACCTTAATCACTCTTCCTATGCGCGTACCCCTGGTGGAAATCTTTTTCCCCCGCGCAAAATCGTGTTAGCTTAAAATCCCAAACCTTAAAGCGTAAATTATGGGCTTAACCGATCCTTGACTGTTTCAATTTAGGCTAGTCAGCGGTATAATATATATCTTTGTTCATGTAACACACAGGAGACGTCCAAGTGGGTGCAAGTTTCACTCCAGAATATTCAAACCCAATCTGTCCCTGGCAGTGTGATAGCTACTCCTCAACAACTTCAAGAGTTTCATAACGCTTTGATAGGGTGAGTAGCCTTTTATTGTGGATCAGGTAAAGAGCAGCTTTCAATTGGGTGTCGTGAACCAAAACCAAAGTATTCATCTTGCCAATCACAAAGCAGACAGACAATGCAATGAACCAATCAAAACTCGAAATAAATAGATAAATCTGGCCCCAAGCGCGGCAAAACGTGTACAACCGTGGCAAGATTGGTTTTGGTTTTACTTCTGATTGGATAAAAAAAAAGGTGGCGTGAGTTTTTCAAACCAATGGGCCATTTCCGAGTTACCTTTTGCCTCTGTGCTGAAACGAGTCTTCGTGCGACACCGGTCAAATGGAAATGTGTTCCGACTACGGGTTCATTTTCATGCAAATGAAACCCATTTCAAGGTTTTGCACGAAGACTAGTTTTTAAACAGGCAGAAGATAACTTGGAAGAGGCTTATTGTGTAGCGTAGTAGCTTTTCAACGATAAAGTGGAAAAGGTTCTAACTGAGGCCAAGAATCTCACACGAAAATGAGTAATTTTGTCAAAAAATCTGTACAAACCTCACTGTGTATTGTTCGTTTTTAGTTCTCCAAATCAAGATGCTGTTTGGAAAGCATCCAAGCGCTTTTCTCGCCTGTTCAGATGAGACAAGACGAGTCGATGTAACAAGGACAGCCACGCAATGGGAACGTTGTGCATAGTGACGTCACAGTGCTGGGACAGAGTCAGTCAAAGACCGTCAGCGATTAGCGCCCAGCACAGGGCCTGGGAACCAGTCACGTTCAAAAGCAAGAAGTGTCGAGGAACATGTCAAGATTGTGCAAAAATTGAGAGAGAAGCACGATTTCAGAAGGACAGAACTGAATAGCAGTTGTATAATTATTTTAAATGCTCGGGAGGAATCTGAGCACATTGCTTCTTTGAAGCAAAGAAGCGGAACTTTATTTGGATTTTAATATTTGTCGCGTTCTGTTACTTGCCAAGGAAGAGAGATGTAGTAAAGAACGAATAGGAACATCCACTAGACTTGACAGATGACCAAAACTGATGGATCTGGCTTTTATGATAAGGTTGCCACGCATCTTTTACTATCTAAACGCAACAGAATCAGTTTTTTTTTTTGTCTGTTGACATTTGGATTGTATTGTCTTAACGTAGCTTCTTAAATAAGTTATCTTTTAGTAAACTGGAATTTATATAATAACAGGTGTATCTTAATGTAATCTAACAGTTTTTTTTCGGCTTTAATCCTGAACTCTTCCCCCTCCAACATAGACCATTCAGGAGATTTTAAAGAGTAATTTAAGTGTACTCTTTCGTTGCAATACTAACATATGACCAATAGTAATTAGTGAGGAAAAGTAATTTTTGAAACACGAGAGAGAGGTTTTCATCACATTTCTAACTGCGTGGCTGAGTATTTTTGAAGAACTTCGTCAGAGGTGTGTGAATATGTGTAAGACACTGTCTTGACTGTTCGATAAATCTAAATCTTACGAGAAAATGGAGCAATAAATTGTAGAAATCTATCCGAATCTTCTAACAATAGGGTCACCGAGGTCCAGCTTTATTCGGCAGGTTCGGCGAGATTCTCTTGACACAAGCTTAAGAAAGTGTTGTATCGCGAAGGTTATCATAGTGAATGTTGTACTACTCAAGAGGAGTATATCGTAAAATTGCGGCCGTAAGCCCTGGGCTATTTGCTTTTTGATGCATTAACCTTATTTTATTAATTCGTTTGTAGTGTAAAATCACCAGAAAGTATTCTGTTAACAGAAAAAGTGCCTTCTCGCTTCCATAAGCCTACAATTCTTAATCTGCTGACCTGTAAGGAGTCCATCAAGAAAACGGGGCCTTCTTAAAAGGACTTTTTCCATGCAAACTTTTTAGTTTCCCCGAGACTAAGCAATTTTCCCAAGGACCAAGCAATATACTTATTTTCCACAAGGCGCTTATTAGCAACCTCTTACTGTGTCTGTGTTTGTTGCTTTCAGTCCTTGACAAGTTTTTATGGTTCAGCCTCGCTCGGCGTTTGCATGTTTCTCAAGCCCAGAGGCTTGAAAAAAACCCTTCCTAATACAAGAACTACCAAGAACTTAAAGTTGGAACAGATGTTGAACATTCTATGCTGAGTTGACTGTTTCCACTGAAAATGTTCCATGTAAATAATTCATTTTTGTTTGCGGTTTACCTCCAGGCTTTTTACCTATGTACATGCAGACTGGGAGCGTGGATAATAATATAAGCTACTGTAGGTACTACCAAATCTTTATTATGGTGCAACCTCTTTACCAGTGCAGATAGTAAACTTTTAAACTTTGGTGCATGTTCCTCGTCAGTCGATCGCGTTTTAGCAGTTCCTATAAGTATCCGAGTTTGCCTGAGTTTATATGTCTCTGTTTTCTGAAAATTATACTGTGCCATTTTCAATTAAACTCATCACAAATAGATGAGCTTGGGAGCTGGTGCCTTAAAGGTTAGCGGGGTGCCAGAGCCATAAGCCGCTAGGAGGTATCCATGGCAACCCTGGAAAGCAGGAACCACCCAATGAGCGTCCGCTAACCGGCACCGTTACACTCTAAGAAATCCAGTGGAAACTACTAACCTGAAGAATACTTACCCTGACCAAGAACAAAACGGGAGGGAGGAGAGGGTGCAAGAATCTGCAATGATTCGCGAGCAAAGCAGTGCAACTGATCCGCAACAATCAGCAGAATACGTTACAACAATTATGCAATGAACCATAAACCCCTGCAAAACCCACAGGCCGCCCCACAGGTCACGTACTCCCAAACGGGGAAACCGCTGGCTGCATAAGCTCATATTTAACTTGCCTGAATGATATTAGCTGGATGGGTACGCTAGCTGGCTGCATTTGTTCGAGTTTAACCTTGCCTAAATGATATTTAGCCACATTAAAACAAGTGGCAATAACGGCATAAAAAATAACGACGACCAATAACGGCGACCAGAAGGGCCGCCAAGCGGAGCACCATAGTTATAGGAACAGAACCACGTGCATGCATAGAATTAGAAAACAAACCTAAGAAAATACGCGCGCTGATTGGTTCAAAATCGTGTTTCTCTAACGCGATGGAAACACAGAACTAGCACGAGCTGTTGACGTAATGATGACGCCAGCAAAGATAATTTACATTTTGATGATCAAAGTAAAGCTGTTTTTCTTATTTTCCTCGCGGTATTTCTAAAAGAAATAGAAAACATGTTCTCCGTGTTTCTATCGAGTTTAAGTATAAATCTACTAACGTTCTATCACGAATGCTGTTCTCTGATTGGCTACGCTACCCACCATCTATTCTGTGATAGATAATGAGTAGCGTAGCAGTGTGCCCTTGTTGACAAAATGATGGCCGCTTCTTGGCGTTTTCGAAGTGTCTGTGAAGAAGATTTAGATAAAGTATTGAACGAATAGTAGATTTATACTAAAACAATTAGATTATTCGCTCTCGATTTCTGTGCGTGATAGTTCAACTATCACGCGATAGAAATCTCGAGTTCATAATCTAATTGTTTAGTAGAAACACTCGTGAAAGTTTAGAAGAACTCCAAAAAGCTGTGGAAACACTCGCCTGCGGCTCGTGTTTCCACAGCATTTCTCGTTCTCTCAAACTTCTACTCGTGTTTCTATAACTCGATAGAAACACGGTACATTTTTCTATTTCTTAAATAGAAACCCATGCAACTGTGTTTTCATAATATAGTCAACCTGGTTAGTGGTATGGATCGCGTGCGCCCAACGACGACGACGACGTCGCACAACGTGGCGGCAATCAGTTAATACCAAGTCATGCGGTCTTGGTTTACAGCATGTCTTTAATAATGGACATCCATGTTATGGTCAATTGACACCTGTCAAAACAAGCTATCCGCTGACCAGTATCAGGTGACATTATCACGGGCTCAGGTTAAAAGCTCATCTACGTCATGTGTTTTTTAAAGTTGACCGCTGATCAATGACTGGCTTTCGATAGAATCCGGGGCTCATGTCAGGTTTATTTGTTGTTATTAGGGCGACGATCAAGGCCAGGTTGTTCGGAAGGTGGTTAACGCTAACCCAGGATTAAAAGTCAACCGAGCTATAATTTTTTCTTGCACACAAATGTTCTTCACTGCTTTTAGGTCATGTGTTACGTTTGTAGTTTGACATCATCCTCTTTTTAAAGAAGCTCAGTCACGGTATTTTCAGTTATTTTGGCCACATAAAAAATTACCTTTAAATGTTAGGAAACCTGAAAATAACAGCTTAATAAAATAGAAAAACACCAAAACATAATGATAAACCATAAAGAAACAAGGATTGTTAAGAATAGAGAAGATTAACACGGATTATAAACGACGAATTTGAACAGTTAAGGTTAAATTTTTCAGTATGCGCAAACCGTAACTGAGCTCCCGTGAAAGAGACGGGAACCTAATATCGAGAGGTGAGGTTCCAGGCGACATTAGACTGCTTTGATGTAAAGAAAAAAACTAGCAAGGTACTAGGAAAAGCGCTATTAGACCTGAAATAGCTAGTGGACTTCGTCTCAATTGGGGGCCATATCAGACTAACACTGCCGATGTTTGACATAATTCTGTTTTTAACGCGTTGAACAGCTGGGATTCTACGATCAAGAGATGAAGTTTTAATTTACAATTTTATATCTTGGTATCCCCACAAAAACTACCAAGCAACTGCATGAAAAGTTGTTAGACAAGAAAATTTACCCTTCGTTTCAAGATGACGGCCATATTAGACTCTCATGGCCGTTGTTTGGACTTAATCCTCTTTTCAACCTGTAAAAAAAAATGGGATTCTAATATAATTCTAATGGACCTGAAATGCTGGACATCGTCTCAAGATGGGGGCCATATCAGACTAACACTGCCGATGTTTGACATCATTCTTTTTTCCACCCGTTGAAGAGATGGGATTCTACCAACAAGATATAAAGTTTTACGTTACAATTTTATATTTTCATATCCCCAAAAAAACTAGCAAAGAAACTATATAAAAAGTTATTAGACCAGAAAATTTACACTTCGTTTAAAGATGGCGGCCATGTTAAACTGTGATGGCCGCTGTTTGAACTTCATCCGACTTTCAACCCGTCAAAGAGACGGGATTCTAATATTAAGATATGAACTTCCAGGCGAAGGTAGACTGCGTTGATGTAAAGCAAGGTACTAGGAAAAACGCTATTAGACCTGAAATGCTAGCTAATGCTGGACTTGCTCTCAAGACAGGGGCCATATCAGACTAACACTTCCGATGTTTGACATCATTCTGTTTTTCACCAGTTGAAGAGATGGGATTCTACCAACGACAGATGAAGTTTTACGTTACAGTTCTATATCTTGATATCCCCTCAAAAACTACCAAGCTACTACGTAAAAAGTTATTAGGGCAGAAAATTTACACTTCGTTTCATGATGGCGGCCATATTAGACTATCATGACCATTGTTTGGACTTCATCCCCTTTTCAACCCATGAAAGAGATGGGATTCTAATATCGAGCGATAAAGTTCCAGGCGGCAGTAGACTGCCTTCATGTAAAGACAAACACTAGCAAGGAACTAGGAAAAACGCTATTAGACCTGAAATGTTGGACTTCCTCTCAACAAGGGGGCCTTATCAAACTAACACTGCCCACGTTTGACATCACTGTGTTTTTCACCCGTTGAAGAGATGGGATTCTACCATTGAAAGATCAAGTTTTACGTTACAATTTTATATCTTAATATCCCCCAAAAAGTTACCAAGCTACTAAATAAAAAGTTATTAGACCTGAAAATTTACACTTCGTTTCAAGATGGAGGCCATATTAGACCATCATGGCCGTTTTTTGGACTTCATCCTCTTTTCAACCACTGAAAGAGATGGGATTCTAATATCGAGAAATAAAGTTTCAGGCCACATTAGAATACCTTGATTTAAAAACAAAAACTAGTGAGGTACTAGGAAAAACGCTGTTAGACCAGAAATGTTGGACTTCGCCCCAAGATGGGGCCCATATCAGCAAACACGAATGATGTTTGACATCATTCTGTTTTTCAACCATTGAAGAGATGGCACTCTACCATCGGGAGATGAAGTTTTACATTACAATTGTATATTATGATATCTGCACAAAAACTACCAAGCTACTACATAAAAAGTTATTAGACTACAAAATTGTGGCACAATGTTGCGCAATATAGTACAATAAAGCGCAATGTGGCACAATAAAGCACAATATAGCACAATGTGGCGCAATGTAGCACAATGTGGCGCAATGTAGCACAATGTGGCACAATGTGGCACTTTGTGGCAAAACGTGGCACAATAAAGCATAATAGGGCGCATTGTGGCACAATGTGGCGCAATGTAGCACAATGTAGCACAATGTGGCACAATGTCGCAATCTAGCGCAATTTGACACATTATGGCACAATCTGGCGCAATGTGGCACAATCTAACAACAATGTAGCACAGTGTGGAACAATAAGGCGACATGTGGCACAATGTGGCACAATATAGCACAATGTGGTGCAATGTAGCACAATGTAGCACAACGTGGCATAATGTGGTACAATAAAGCGCACATTGTGGCACATTGTGGTGCAATGTAGCGCAATACGGTACATTATGGCACAATGTGGCACAATGTGGTTCAATGTAACACAATGTGGCACATTGTGGCACAATGTCGTACATTGTGGCATAATGTGGCTCACTGCACAACAATGTGGCACATTAAGGCCCATTGTGGGGTAATCAGGCAAATCGTGACGCAATATGGCACAATTGGGCGCAATTTGGCACAATGTAAAATATTCTGGCGCAATGTGGCACAATGTGCGCAATGTGGCACAAGAGGGCGCAATATGCTGCAATCTAGTACAATGTGGCGCAATGTGGCACAATCTGGCATAATGTGTTGCAATGTGGCACATTGTGGAGCAATATGACACAACGTGGCACAATGTGGCCTAATATGGCGCAATGTGGCACAATCTGGCATAATGTGGCGTAATCTGGCACAATATGGCGCAATATGGCACAATAAGGGCAATGTTGCGTAATGTCGCACAATGTGGCACGATATCGCGGAATGGGGCACTATGTGCAAAACTCTGGCGCAATACGGCAAAATGTGGCTCGATGTGGCACAATGTGCTATAATGTGATGCAATAGGGCACAATGTGCCGCAATGAGGCGCAATGTGGCACAATGTGCCGCAATTTAACTCAATGTGGCCCAGTGTGGCATAATGTCGCACAATGAAATGCAATGTGGCGGAATGTAACGCAATGTGGCGCAATGTGGCACAATGTGGCACGATGTGGCGCAATGTAACACAGTCTTCCATAACATGGCACAATGTGAAACAATGTGGCGCAATATGGCACAATGTGCCACTATGGGGCGCAATGTGTCACAACATGGCGCAGTGTGGCACAATGTGGCGAAATGTGGCGCAATTTGGCACAATATGGCGCAATGTGGCATATTGTGGCACATGGCGTAATGTGGCGCAAAGTGACGCAATGTGGTGCAATGTGGCACAGTGCGGCGCAATGTGCCACAATATGGCAATATGTGAAACAATGTGGCGCACGATGACAGAATGTTGTACAATGTAAAACAATGTGGCGCAATCTGCCACAATGCGGCGCAATGTGCCATAATGTGGCGCAATGTGGCACAATGTGACTAAATATGGCACAATGTGG